CAAATAACTGTCAATAAACATGACAGCCACTTGTGACAGCAGCAAATGCTGAAAAACACCCATCGCTCGAGTGTTGAGTGCTATTTTGAGCTGCTTCAAGATATGTCGACATATTACGTTAAAGGGGCTCGAAAAATATTTTTATTTTTGCACATAGAATAATATTGTAGAAATAATATGAAAATATATACATACAAAGACTATAAAAAGAGATGAAAAAAGAGATCGTGGTGATAATACTTTATTTGACATAACTAAATAAAAAACTATTTCCTATTCATATCTGAGCAATAAAGATAAAGTGTCGAAAACAATTTAATAACTCTATAATATTGGTTAAATATTATGGAATTTCGGTATGGAAAGAATATCTTGAAAAATATATTAAATATAGGACATTTAAAAACATTCAATTAACTTTTTCTTTTAATACAAAACACAGTATAATATTTCAAAACCATATCTGCTGTATATCTATTTCTTATATATTTTATATTTAATATATAATTGATAATTACCATACACATATTTGGCGTATAATACGTGGAACTACCCAAGTACATTTAAATTACTTTCACTTTTCAATCATTTCCTACCACAATTTTTAAATTCATCGATTCAATGAATATTTCCTGTGAAGGACGCGGATTGTTCTGTATTTTCAAACATGTTTCTAGCGCGCTTTCATTTCTGAAACTGTCCTTCACGCGCCGTTACGTCTATCACAGCTGCATAAATGAACTTAACATGGCTAAATTGCCCCTTAGCCTCTTAGCGGGCACTAACAATTTATGGCAATGGCTGCATTCGCTGAACAGTTGGCAGCACTGTTACAGCACTTGGGCCGGGATGTTCTTAAACAGTATGACTGCCATTCCCGGGGCCATGCAGCGGCAATAAAAGAAATTATAAAATAATATTAACAATCTAGCAACAGCTATGGCCGAGCTGGAGGCATTTAGCACCGCACCACGAACCAGACTCAACAAAGTGTATAAAGTGTAGCCATATAAAAAAAAAAAAAAAGAAAAGAGGAAAATAAATGAAAAACCAAAATATAGAAGCAAAAGGAGAAGAAAGTGCCATTTTACGTTAATGGTTATGTGGGTGCAGTCCGCTGTGACCTGCGACCTGCTGCGGTATGTGGCAACTGTAGGCGAGCTCAAGGGCTAAAGCGGCATGCTGCAAGTTGCAAGCTGCAAACTGCAAATAGCAACAAATGGCTGGCAGGTAATAAAGGCAAAGGCCAGGACTGCATTTAAGCAGCAATTAAGACCCTCGACTAATTGTACGGCAACAGCGTTGACTCTATCTCTCTCCTCTCTCGCTCTCTCTCTCTCTCCTCTGTACACTGGCCATAACTTAATTTTGTTGTTCGAATTTCCCTCGTGTGAGCCTAAAATAAGTGAGCGGAACGGTGGAGCAAACGGCCTGAATTTCTAGTTCAGCTACTTAAATGTATGATATGACGAATGTAGGCGTAGCCCATGAAGTGAAGTGATGCTCACTTACATATAAATCATATTTTTGAATAGAAACCATACGCAGTACGATATCTTTTTTATCGAAAATAATCGATGGATTGATTTCGTTTTTTCAGCCTAATTTGAATACTGTCCGCTCTCTACGTAAGAAGGCTCTAGTCGAGACTGCTCGACTAGGAGATACGCTGAACCCTCCAATCTGATATTCTAATCATTCTGAACTTCTTTTATGCATCCACCCGCACGCATAAGCCAGCGCTCTGCTAACTGCGCAGTGAGCAGCAACTGTTGAATAATTTAATTTCTAGACTTACGATCTTAATGAAACTTTCAGAACTTAATTATTATGTTCAAATGTATGTACATTCCAAAGCACAAGTCTCTAGTATTTGAAATGCGTTTTTTACAAATTGGGGGCGAAGGGGGCTGGTATCCAAAATCTGTAAATTACAAAATGTTTGTAATCATCATATGTATATACACAGTAAATCTGAAGTCTCAAGGTCTAAGAGTGCTCCAATGAGGCTGAAAAAACAGAATCCATTTTTCGATTATTCTCGATAAAAAAGTTTTCGGATGATTTATCGAAAAATAAGATAAATTCGTATATACTCGTGTAATGCATGCCAAATTTCAGCTCTCTAGCTTTTGTATCTTCTGACATTGTAGCACTCATACAGACGGACGGACGGACAGACGAACTGGGCTATATCGAATCAGCTCGTCGAGCTGATCCAGAATATATACTGAACGAATACACTCGACTATGATGGTGTTTAGTTTTGTATTGATCTTTATTCTTCTGAGTCCGGGTTTATATACTCATTCATAATTTCAACCCTTAAATCTAATGTATCTATTGCTGAGTGTGTAAGGCTCAGCATAGGGCTATTACATATTCTAAACTTATCGCTGAGTGTGTAAGACTCCGCGTTGGTCTATTAGCTATTTTTATCCTGTCCTAAGCGCTCGTCTCCTTCGTGATCTGACTCTGGGATTGCAAGGGTTGTTCTTCATTTGTCTATTTATGCAGTCCGTACATGTGACCCTTATCTTCTCACAGCGCACTACCTGCTAGTCGCTGAGTGCGTCGGAGGCATGTATGCGATCTTCGTATATTCATATGTTCATGCCTGAGCATATACTTTATGGGGTCTGCGATGTTTCCTTCTGCCCCAAGCGCAGTCGCTGCCAACTGCGCAGTTAGCAGAGCGCGTGGTTATGCGTGCGTGTGCGACTAGAGTCTTCTTACTTGTTTCTGTTTTGAATACCGACACATTCAAAAAAATAGAAGAGGGTCTTTTTTTATGTTGATACGCGTGCATTATAGCATATTTTACAAATCACAATTTGTATTGAATTATGTTTTCTTTGCCATCGAATTGTATATGTATTCTTAGCCGTTGCTTCAATTATTTCTTGCAGTGAAGTTGCCTGAGCCTGATCCGCTGCACGTCTTTAAGTTTTTATTCCTTTTATTATTAGTTTAATTTTTATTTCATTTATTTTTTTGTGTATAGATATCAATTTGATAAATTGAGAAGTTTTATATCGTTCTAGCATAGTGCAGGATTTATAATTGCAACAAGAAAATTTAATGTGCATTTTACAATTATATTTTGTTTAAAGAACATTTCCAAAAATATTTCACTAAAGCAAAAAGAACGAGTTTCAGAATAAACATCCTTTCGCCCATTCATAAAAAAGAACACACATTGTGGAGCTCGTACATTTGAGGTTAGCTCTTAGCACATATTGTGCTAGTGGCCAGGCGGGTGGCAGAAGTCCGTATGCGACTCGCAGAGTTCCCTGCATCAGTGGCCCATTGCTGTCGTAAAGCCTCATTTTGTTTAGGCGGTGAGTCATGTGACACGAAGCGCACAGCTCAGTTAGCTTGGGCAGCCGAGCTGGGGTTGGGGATGAGGATGGGGCAAAGCAGCCAGGCAAACATGCATAAAAAAGTTTTATAATAAAATTATTTGTTTGGGTCCAAATAGACAAGTTTTCAGCCATACATTTCATTTGTGCGAAATGTCACTCTGGGGCATACTTTTGCCAACAGCCGAACAACTGAGCAGCAGCAACAATACCAGCAACAACAAGGACACTTGTTTTGGCAAATCTGCAAGTGAGGCTCGGGACACGCAGGATTCCCAGCCGAGGAGGCAGTCGGCTGGCCGTCAATGCCAGGTCTCTGGCAATTAAACATGGCCTGGCTAAACATTTGCATTTAAGTGAAAAGCTGCAGAAAATAAAAAGTTAAATGGGAATAAAAATGCATTGCATTTGTGTTGGCGCTTTTCATTAGCCAGTCCCCAAGGAGCAACAGCAGCAACGACAGCAGCTGCTCCTGCGGCTCCTGCTGTTGTCTGGCACCCAAAGTGACTTTCAATGTAAACGTCAGCGCTTTGTGCTGTTGACATTTGTGTTCGCCTAGACGACAGTCGGTGAGGACAAGGACAACGACAACGTCGACGTCGACGTTGAGGGCAACAATTTACGATAAACATCTCAGTGGCATGCAAATCCCTTTTAGGAATGCCACCAGGCGCAGAAGTACACTTCGCCATTTCGAGAGGCGCGCCACAAAGCAAAAGTGGCTGCAGCTCTATGCTCGATGCGGCATCCCTTTCGAGTTGGCATTAACCAACACTGGCAGCATTAACATCAACTTCAGATTGCACTCGAATTGAGAAGACAGCCACGCTATAAGCTGCGCCCAAGCAACCATAGCTGAATGCACTAGCAATCGAATTAAATATATGCATATATAAACAGGAGCATATATGTGTATGAAGTCATTACAAGAGATCGCAAATGATGGCAAATACTTCAAAGTATCTGCAATGAGCCCCATTGAAAGTTAGTTTCATGTATTTACAATGGGTGAGTGAGGGCATATAAGCAGCGCAGCATCCTTGCAAATCTCTTCACTGATACTCCTCCAGGGCATGCTCTGCTACAATCACCATTCGCAAAAGCTTATTTACTATAATAGCTCAAATTACTCGGAATTGAGGCATTAATACAAACCAATGAGTAATTGTGAAAAACACTCTTTGAAGATGTAATACCTCAGTTGATAATCTATCAAGAAGGCTACAAAAACAATAAAGCCTTAGAAAATAACTGAGACAGTCAGAAACGATTTGATGCCCTTCTCCGGCATATCAACAATCTTCAAGCTATCTTTTCCGTTTTGATGTAGCTAATATCGTATATATTTATATATTATAACCAATGTATTAATAATGTACTATAATACTATGCTCTCCTTTTTTTCGACTCAGCTGAACAATGATAAAATTAACGGTTGATAATTTATATATATATATATATACATACACAACTTTAATAAATTATATTTTTCTGTACAACTGCTTATGGATTATTGACAATTTCGTATTAAATATGATAAACAAAACTATTTCTTTTTGATCAGTCTGGATCAGTCTCGATCATCTCAATTATAAACTCGTCTGACCAATGTGGTCTTCGTTGCATGAACTCCTGTATTCACCGGTATAAATTTTGGTAGTAGCGCCACATATCGCAAACGGATCGCGGATGAAGACTATCTGAGGATGCTGACTTCCATGCCACATTATACTCTGAGAAACTCGGATAGCGGGTTCGCGGCCTCTTGCTGGCTTTCTGCTTTGCTCTGTCTTCAACTGAGCTCTTCAGGCCCTCGGGCTCGGGGCACTCGGTATCTGTGGATTGCTGGTCGGGAGTATCGGGGGGACAGTACGGCCTGGGCGTCTTGACGCGACGTTTGATCTCTGGTGGTACCATCTGAATATGTTTGACAGACTTTTTTCTTGGGACACAATCTACCCAGTTGGATTGGAAGGCTCGATCTAAACTCTTGCTAGGCTTGTATAAGCACGTATCTAGTCGCGTGTTACCGAAATTTAGAACTATACCATCTGGTCTGTTGGGCACACTACAACTCGGAAACCCTAGACGAGGCTTCGCCCTACTCCCGACATCTGATTTGTGTGGCCGGACCTGATCTTTATCCACTGGCTTCATGGTCTTCTCTACCCAGTACGACTCCTTCTTCGCATGTGGAGCATGGACTTTTGAGCTAACCATGCGACGAGTCGGCACCCTTTTCAAACATATTCTGGGCAGATTTCTGAAAAAAGCCGTCGAGTTACTGAAATTTTTTAAACTCATGATGAAAAACGTAGAAAATTTCCAAATGCGTACAAAAAGGTTGTATGAATCCCAACAGAATACTGGCTCAATGCCTTCCAAAAAAACTCTATGTGGCCTCTCCGAGTGACAGCAAAATCAATACCAACTGTAGATTGTAGAAAGCTTTTTGTTATGAAGAACTCAAATCGAAAAAGTGATATAAATTACTTAAATACTTTCCCATCCCGGATATACTAATCGCATTACATTAGCTGGGTTTTATTAAAATAAATGATAAATTTAATATTAAAATATATTATTAATGCTCATTAAAAAATATAACAGCTCTTAAGGCTTTCATTTAATTTATATATGCATTTTGAACAGCTCCACAAATAATGCGGAGCAAAAATAGTAAGAAAAAAAAAAAAAATAATAATAATAATAATAATGCAATACTTGAGAGTCAGCTGGGTATTTGAAATGCAATCAGAGAGTTGACTCGCAATTGCGGGCCAGACCCGGTGCTAGACCAGCTGAAGTGCAAGCCAGCCGAGGCAACTCTGGGAAAAGTTTCAACAGCAAACAATAAACAAAACGCACTAATTAATTAGTGAGTGGGCATTTTGTGCCCTCCGGGCCGATAGAGGCTTGCCCAGAGCCCGGGTGCAAATTTTATTTTTCGTCCATTTCCGTTTTTGCAAACAACAACTCTATGAGAAATTGTTTTTTTTTATACCCTGAACCCATTGAAAATGGGAAATCAGGGTATAATGTTTTTGTG